TTAATTCAACAGCTTATCAAACCTCCCAGTGGAGTGGCCTCATTCCACCTACTTTTGCCCATCACCCTCTTGTTGCGTATTCTCCTCCCTTTTCCAAGGTAATCTTCACCCACCCTCTAGTCTGGGTGTTCACAAACTTTTGAGACAGAAAAGCCACTCCTGTCCCTGACAACAACTTAAAAAAATCATTAGGGAGCCATAAATGTGTTGTTGTTGTTTACAAACAAATGAAATCACCAAGATCTGAATAATTTCAATTTTGCTTCAGAGCCACGTGTACGCACACACGAGCCACATCTGGCCGCGAACCGCAGTCTGCCAGTGACCCCAGTGTCTATCTAGTCTCTGACGTCCCTTGCCCCTTTTCCTCCCACCCCTGCTGTCAAAGTCTGTTTCTTTTCATGTGAAAACTTTCTTTTTGTTCCCCCTAAATCACCCTGGTCTCGTCGTTTAATGGCTGTCTTACCAAACACCAAAAACCAAACCCACTGCTGTCGGGTCGATGCTGACTCACGGCGACCCTGTGGGACAGCCTAGATCTGCCCCTGCGGCTTGCTGAGACTGTCACGCTTTACGGGACTGGAAAGCCTCGCCTTTCTCCCCAGGATCATTTAGTGGTTTCGAACTGCTGACCTTAGAGTTAGGAGCCCAACACGTAACTACTACACCACCAGGGCACACTTGCACTGAGCATCTCATCCTACGGTTGCACACATGCCATGAGGTGTCTCACAGATTCCTCACTATTCTTTAATGTAGGGCACTAGTATTCCATCGTGTGTGTGTGTGTGTGTGTGTGTGATCTATATCCATTCTCCCACCCACCCATGGGAATTTAGATTGTTTCCATCTTCTGCCTCTTGTGGGCTGCAATCCACAAGGTCCCTAGTTCAAAACCACCTACTGCTCTTCTGGAGAAAGACGAGGCTTTCTACTCCCATAAAGATTTCCAGTCTTGGAGCTCACAGGGTCACTATGAGTCGGCATTGCTTGATGGCAGTGGGTTCTGTCCTGGTACCGCTCCTGTGGGTAGTGTTGTGAATACCGTGGGGGGCCCCGTCTAACGGTGACTCTTACTTGCTTAAAGGGTGTCTTCGGCAGGGTTCTCTAGAGAAACAAAACCAGGACACTTATGATTATATGTATAAGAGGATAGGTTTATACAACAAGGATTATAACTAATTAGTCCACACGGCGGTACAGAGGGCTCAGTTCAACTCACTTCCGTGGAATAGTTAATATACTGGAAGTCCATCAACTCACGCTGGCTGCTGGGCCCACGGTCAAGGAAGCAGACAGTGGAGTCTTCCCTGTTAGGCAGAGTCTGTCCTCAGGCAGCAGACAGCAGGGCGGGTCAGCCACGGTCAGCAGCTCGGGGCCCAGCGAGGCAGGCCCCATGGGATCTGGGACTCAGGCATGGCGATAGCATCCACCAGCCTCAGGCTCCAGCAGTGTGCGCTCCAGCAGTGT